CTGACATTTTTTATTTTGGATTTCATGAAAAAAGTATTGTTGTTATTATTATTATTAGTAAATGTTTTGAAATGGAAATTCCATCTCTATAAACTCTTATTATTCACTGGGTTTTACCAAAAAAAGGGGGGCGGCTTTAGTCAATTTAGCTTCCAATAACATTTTATTCAAGTTTTCAAATCTTAGTATTCATTTAGCTGTGCAGAAGAGGGCACTACTCAGAATTTATCAGTGTTATCTCTTTTCTGTTAAGGTTTATTAAGAAGCTATTTTATTGCAAGTTCAACCTATTTTTCTGGCTCATCTCGCTTGTGTCTCTTTCAACATTCATTCGGTTAGGTCAATTTGGCAAAATACTTGCTTTGGTGATTCTGTCTTGTTTTTGTTTGGTTTTATGGAAAGCAATCCCATTCCAGGCATATCCCATTTTCTTGGCACAACCTAACCGTTATGTTGCTTTACGTTATGTGGCTGGTTTCGGCTAAACTCCTGGGTCCTGTGCTTCCTGATGGGTCTTTGTGTGCACCTCAGAGGCTCGCGGTGTCCCTATCACTTCCAAGTCAGGCAAGGGTAGGCCGCTACCAGAACCCTTTTCATCGTTGGCCAGTTCAGATTTTTTGGAGGTCAGTTCCTCCGCTTAGTCTACAGGGTCGTCCCTGTTTCATACTGACAGCCCACCCATCAGGAGGAGGGTTAGGGGGAACCCTGTTCCACCCACTTGCTCTGGGTTCTGGCCCAAGGCCCTACGGGGGTGGGGTGTGCAATCCCAAGTGAGCTGTGAGGCCTGGCCCTTGCCCCACTGAACATCGGCCCATCCCTGGGCCACTTCCCCAACGCTTCCCAGATACCTCCTCCCCGATGCCTTGGAACAGTCCTTGATTGGCTGCTTTGGGTCTGTCTCCTGGGCTGGGCTGGGCTTGCTCTGTGACCAGGGCTGGCCCGAGCCCTTTTGGCACCCTGGGCCCGGGCGTGCAGCACTGCCTCTGGGCACAAGGTGCACGCGCACACCGGCCACGGCTGCTGGCGCAAAGCCTGGGACCGACCCCTGGGGCGTACGGCGCATGCGCTGCCCAGCCCGGCTCGGCCAGCACTACTGGCGCACGTGCAGGGCCCCGCAGCCGTGGGGGGAAGGGCGCTGCTGGCCAGCACTGCAGGGCCGGGCATGTGGCTCCTGATGGAAGTTGTAAGGGACACCATGCGCCCCTTACAGCTGCCATCAGGTGCCACCCGTCGGTTGGTGCCCTGGGCAGCTGCCCGGTTCTCCCATGCCTCCGTCAGGCCCTGTCTGTGACCCTCTCTTCTGGTCTATCCCTTTTCTCCTCCCCCATCCCAAGCCTTGCCTGAGGGAGGGTTTTTATGGTGGGCCTATCAGCCTTAATTGGCAGCAGGTGTGTGCCTCAGAGGCTCGCAGTGTCCCTATCACTTCCGAGTGAGGCAAGGGTAGCCCGCTACCAGAGCCCTTTTCATCATTGGCCAGTTCAGGGTTTTTGGAGGTCAGTTCCTCCGATTAGTCTACAGGGTCTCCCCTGTTTCATACTAGCAGCCCACCAGTCAGGAGGAGGGTTGGGGGGAACCCGATCCCACCCACTTGCTCCGGGTTCCGGCCCAAGGCCCTATGGGGGTGGTAGCTGTAACCCTAAGTGGACAAACATCCACACCGACTGACACCTTGCAAGACTTTTGTTCCACCAGACAAGAAATCTACTATACACACTTCTATTCCCTACAACAAAGAAAAGACAATAAATTTTCTAACCTGCTCCATACCACTGGCTACAACAGCAACTGCCTCAACCCACCGGATAATATTGTTAACCTCTCCAGCTACAAACTCAATCCAGCAGAAGAGTCTGTCTTGTCCCGGGGTCTCTCTTTCTGCCCCACGTCCCCCACAAACTGGATACAATTTTGTGGTGACCTTGAGGCTTTTTTTCGCCGCCTCCGTCTCCGAGAATATTTCCAAACCACCACTGAACATCAATCTGACCTACCAGATCCCCCCTACCAACACCAAAGGAAAAATAATTCTATATGGACTCCCCCTGACGGTCGGAATTACAATCTGGATTTCTATATACACAGCTTCCGCAACAACGCACAGACTGACATTATTCGCAAACGACAACAAGCGACACACAATCTTAGCCGCGCTGAACACCATGCCATCCAGAGTCTCAAAAACAACCTGGACATTGTAATCAAACCAGCTGACAAAGGGGGTGCTGTGGTCATTATGAATAAGGCCGACTATAACCAGGAGGCAACCAGACAACTCTCGAACACCACATTTTACAAACCTCTCCCCTCTGATCCCACCTTGGACTACCAAAAGAAACTACACTGTCTCCTTAAAAGCCTCCCCACAGCTACTCGGGAACAAATCCTCACAGAATCACCTTCTGACCCCCGACCAGGATTGTTCTATCTACTTCCCAAGATCCATAAACCTGGGCACCCCGGACGTCCCATCATCTCTGGTATTGGCACGCTCACTACTGGTCTATCCAGCTATGTAGACACTCTTCTCAAACCCTTCGTAACCAATACCCCCAGCTATCTCCGAGACACTACTGACTTCCTAAGGAAACTACAAAACATCGATAACCTCCCCAATAATACCATCCTTGCCACCATGGATGTAGAAGCTCTATATACCAACATCCCACATGAAGACGGATTACAAGCAATTAGAAACACTATCCCAGAGGACACTACTGCCAACCTGATAGCAGACCTATGTAACTTTGTTCTCACCCACAATTATTTCCGGTTTGAGAACAACTTATACCTCCAGATCAGCGGCACAGCCATGGGTACACGCATGGCCCCACAGTATGCTAACATCTTTATGGCTGACCTAGAACAACGTTTCCTCAACTCCCGTCCCCTTTCACCCCTCCTCTACCTACGGTACATCGATGACATCTTTATGATCTGGACACATGGCCAAGAAACACTGGAGATATTCCACAGAGATTTCAACAACCTACACCCCACCATCAACCTCAGCCTGGACCATTCTACACGAGAGATCCACTTCCTGGACACCACCGTACAAATCAACAATGGAAAATTAGACACCACTCTCTACAGAAAACCCACTGACTCATACAGTTACCTACATGCATCCAGCTCCCATCCAGAACACACCACACGATCCATCGTCTATAGCCAAGCCCTTCGATACAACCGCATCTGCTCTAACCCCACTGACAGAGACCAGAAGCTTCAGGATCTCTACCAAGCATTTATAAATCTCAACTACCCACCCAGAGAAACAAAAAAGCAAATTGAAAGAGCCAGACGAATACCTAGAAACCATCTACTTCAAGACAGACCCAAGAAAACCAACAATAGAACACCACTTGTCATCACCTACAACCCCCAACTTAAACCTGTCCAACACATTATCAATAAACTACAGCCTATATTGGAACAGGATACCATACTCAAAGAGGCTCTGGGAGACAGACCCATAGTCTCCTATAGACAACCACCTAACCTCAAGATGATTCTTACCAACCACCACAGGACATACCACACTAATACCAACCCTGGTACCTTCCCTTGCAACAAACCCCGTTGCCAGCTTTGTCCACATATTCATTCTGCTGATACCATTATTGGACCTAACCAAGTGAGTTATAAGATCAAGAACACATATTCCTGCGCATCCAGAAATATAATCTACGCTATCATGTGCCGAAAGTGTCCGTCTGCTATGTACATTGGACAAACATCTCAGACACTTCGCCAAAGGATTAATGCCCACAAAACAGATATCAGACAAGATCACAAAGAGAAAACAGTTTCTTGCCACTTTAACCAGAAAGGACACTCTCTAAATGACTTAGCCACCTGCATTCTGCTACAAAGACCTTTTACATCTGCACTTGAAAGGGAATCCTCTGAACTGTCATTCATGTTAAAATTCGACACTTACCACCAGGGACTTAACAAGTCTTTGAACTTTCTCACCCATTATCAAGACAGTTTCCCCAATTATCACCTGTAATACCATTAACTCACAAACATCCCACTCTCCCTACCTCTAATATCATCAATTCACAGACACTTACCTTCCTTCCTCCCCCTTCCCACCCCCCCGCCTCCTCCTTCTGTTCTGCAATGTGATTTGTCCTTTTCATATTTGTTCTTTTTTTTAATTGTATCCTTTGGTATATATGGTTGTGACTACTTTCTTCCACTATTTGATCTGAGGAAGTGGGTCTGGCCCACGAAAGCTCATCATCTAATAAACCATCTTGTTAGTCTTTAAAGTGCTACATTGTCCTGCATTTTGCTTCAACTACCCCAGACTAACACGGCTACATTTCTATCACCACCCTAAGTGAGCTGTGAGGCCTGTCCCTTGCCCCACTGACCAGAGGCCCCTCCCTGGGCCACTTCCCCAACGCTTCCTAGATACCTCCTCCCCGATGCCTTGGAACAGTCCTTGATTGCTGGCTGACTTGGGTCTGTCTCCTGAGCTGGGTTGGGCATGCTCTGTTCTGCCTCCCCTCTCCTCTGTCTGTCCCTTTTCTCCTTCCTCCCACCAGCCTTGCCTGAGGGAGAGTTTTTATGGTGGGCCCATCAGCCTTAACTGGCAGCGGGTGTTTTAATTAGCCTCCCTTTCAGGCTGACGCCATATGGACTTCAGGTGTTGCCTTGGCTGGACCGCAGTCTCTGGCAGCCTATTCCGGGAACATAAAACCACATATCCAGCTCCCCATGCATCTGTCTTCCACCAGGCTTTTGCAGCCCCCTGCTCTCAGGCTGCCACAGTTAAGATAAGAAGAATCTATTTACTGATTTTGGTGTTCTAGCTCTTACCATTTGGAGGAGTTCTTGACCAAACAGACAAACTCTCTAAAATATATAGTAGTTTAGCACATAAAGGAAGAAAGCTGGCAAAGAACTTAAAATCAGAATAAAACCAAGAAGGCAAAAGTAAAACCACCGGTGGGAGTACAAGCAAAGTAAATATTCCCGATACTTACAATACACAAGAAATGAAGGGAGACTGGGAGATTGTCAGGAAAGATGCAGCCAGCAGATGCAAAATGGGTTTTGCAACCACTGGATAACGATCTTAAAAATGCACATGGAGTTGCCCAGAAACAGAAAACAAAGAAGGGATCTTTCATAATCAATTTACTAGGCAGACAAAACCAACCGGTCTAGGGGGACAAATTCAGGTTTTGTGGGAACATGCAGCAACTTGCACTCTCATTTCAGAGCTGGGATGTTTTTATTCCGGTTTCCAGCCGTGCCTGCTCAAACCTAAAGAACCACCCTTCCTGCTCAGAACTAATAATATAACCCTTTTCAAATATTTTTTGATACAGGTTAAGCTGTTCCTTTCTGTCCTTTTGCATTTCACTATACTTGCTGCTGGTACCTGCTCTTTCAAATGAACTCATCGAGTTAATGTTTCTCACTTGGCTCATAGATCTGCCCACTTCTAAATTGCTGTCTCGACTTCTGGCCTTTCCTCCTTGTTTTAACAGTTAAAAAGTTGTAATTTTTACAGAAACCTCCTCCACAGAATGACATGAAGCTACTGAAAAAACCCCATCAAAATGCATAAGGTAAAAGCTTGACTTTAAATAAGCTCAGTTAATTAAGGGCTTTTAAACTGTCAGAAATGGAACTGCTGAAGACATCTTGGCTTTCTTGAAAATATGATTGCCAAGCAACAGATATGCTAACTTAGCTCCTAACATTAATCACTAATATATGAAACACGAATCTTCCTTATTTCCAGATAGTAATATTCTAAAGGCAAAAACAATATAAAGTAATGGAAACTGTCGTAACTAATTTAACACAATTTTTTTTTCAATTTTTGTTTCTTTTTTTCAATTCTTACTAAACATTTTAAATAAAAAAAGCTAGAATGTGCATAATTAAATTGTTAATTTGTCAGTTTAGTGTGTTTGTTTCCACATGCTTTGCCTTAACAACTTTAAGCTCCTACCTTTTATAGTAATAAAAGTTTTTGGTAACATTCATCTTTAATTGTATGTTTGCCACATCTATGCCATGTATATTGTCCTTTGTTATTGAATGTTATGTGTATTGTGTGATTACATTTTATTTTTATTTTGTAGCAGTAAAAGACAATTTTACCTTCATACTTATAAAGAGTAGTTTTAATATAAGTGGTATTTTGCTGTTTTAATATTATAGCTGGGTTATAGCTATCATAATGAAAACTTTGAAGCAATTTAAACAACAATCTTGATAAAACACTAATCAAGATTAATTGTGTGAGTAATCATGCTATTAAAATAATAGAATTAAATTTAATTCTTTTTGGAAATGTTTTACATTTTCAAATATATTTATTTCCATTAAAACAGAGAATACAACGTGTATAGTGATAAGTTTGTATTTGATTACAGATATTTGCACAGTAAAAACATAAAAGAAATCTTTTTTTCAATTCACCTAATACACATACGTTCATGTGATTTCTTTACCATGAAAGTTGAACTTACAAATGTAGAATTCTATACTTAAAATAATTACATTCAAAAATAAAGTTAAATTTTGGACCCTCCAAGTCCACTCAGTCCTACATCTTCTTTAGTCTACTGCTAAGACAAACAAGTGTGTTGACATTCACTTGCTCACTTCTATTTGACAATGTCACCCGAAAGTGGGAAGAGGCATTTGCATGGTGTTTGCATGGCACTGGTGTAGCCAGTGTTGCAAGTTATGCTAAAGATTCATATTTCCCTTCATGCTTTTCCATGCTGATAATGGTTTCCATTTGATAACAATCAAAAGCAGTGCAGACCCACACATATTTATTTTCATAATCTATTTTCATAATCTCAACAGAGGGCTGATTTACTCCTTCAGTGGTTCAGGTTCTGTAGTTTCTGTGCTGTAGTACTGCTGTTTCAGTCTTCTAAAACCATGATTCCACACCTTGACCCACTCAGGTTTTGGAAGGCACTTCAGATCCTCAAACCTTGTGTTGAGAGGTGTCATTATCTTTAGAGGTCTCCCATTGGTATCATCTTTGGTCTCGTCTACACAAGACCAGGCAGTTGGGCTTAAGGTCTGTGAACCAGCTATGCAAAATATGTAGCTGGATTTGGCTTATTTTAAGTCAAGCTGCCGCAGAGTCTACACTGTGGGAGGCTGACAAGAGCATGCTAAATCGAACACTAGACGTTCGACCTCAAGAGGGTCGGTCTTCTCTGGAGTGTTTTGCTAAATCTGCAGTCAAAGTGTTCTTAACAAGAACAGTGTGTGCTGGGTTGTCATCCGTGATTGCTATAACATGGAATATATGGCAGAATATCAGTAAAGCAGAGCAGGAAACATACAATTTTCCCCCCGGGAGTTCAATCCCAAATTTAATTAACACATTATTTTAATAAGTATCCTCCGCATGGAAGAATGGCCTCTGCTATGTGCATACCTGGCATGTTAATACCTTGCAATGCGGGATACAAAAGTGCTATGTGTGAATGTCTGTTATCATTTTCTAGTAAAATTGTAAATAAGAAGCAGGCTCTACAATGTTACACTGTTTTATTTTTGAGTGCAATTATGTAACAAAAGAATTCTGCATTTGTACGTTGTACTTTCCAGATAAAGAGATTGTGCTACAACGTTTGTATGAAGTGAACTGAACATATTATTTCTTTTCTTTGTCACTTTTACACTGCAAATATTTGATATAGAAATCCACCGTATACGTCTATAAGTCTTGGAGTCAGCTTTTCTGTCTGTTTGCTGAATAAATATGCCTAAATGTTTGTCTGTTTTCTGATTAAATGCACCTTAAGGGTAAGATCTAGGACCACCAAATTCAGCACAAGGCTTCTTCTTATCATAACTTAAAGCAAGATGAAGGGTTTGGTTGTTCCAGGAAAAATTGCTTCTTCTAAAATGGAAAGGGAGAGCTGTGCTATATAATGACCACATGGGGGCAGCAGGGGTTATGGGATGGAAAGCAGGGACAGTTATACTGGACAATGACCACAGTGGGGCAGCAAAGAGCCAAAGATGGGGGCCAGGATAGTTATAACCAGGGCTCGACAATTAACGCGAGTAGATTTTAGCCCAGCATGGCCGCGGAACACGGTCAGCTCATGCGCAGCGCGGTCTGTGCATGAGCAGCGTGCCCTGGTTATAACCCCATGGGAGTAGCAGGGGCAAGGGTGGAGAAAGGGACAGTTATCTACTGTCCATTTGAGCTTCTCATAAAACCATACAAAAAGGAGAAAGAAGAGTGCAAGGGGCAGATGAACCTGGACCTGCCGCAGCTTGGAAGGCACTTCAGATTCTTAAACTTTGGATTGAGTGGCATCATTATTTACACACACACACCTCCACCACCACCAGATGTGCCCACTGCTCCAGTGAGAGAGGCTGGGGAAGTCTTCTCTCCCCAAAGCAGCCTGCATACTGAGCCCCGTACTAAACAAAAATTGAGTTAAGGACTGGGTAAATTTTCTAGTAATAATATAAAGTGAGCTCTCTACACACTGTATTTGGTGTTGTAATTGAAATCAGTATATTTGGGTATGTCCTCAAAAAATGAGGAATAACGTTAGTTCAAGCCAAGGAGTTTGATTTGAGAGTGCACTTCCTGGTTCAAATCAGCTTTTGAGTGGAATAACACGCAGGAGAGATTATGCTAATGAAGCGCAGGATATTTAAATTCCCGCTTCATTAGCAATTTCGTTCGGCTACGTTTGCATCCCTAGCTCAAACTAGGGAGCAAGTGTTGACGTACCCTTTGAAAATTTAAAATATATCCACAAATGTGCAATAAATGTTAATTGATATTCTATTGTGTGATTAAATCTGCAATTAAGGCTGATTAATTTTTTATTGTGATTAATTTTAGTTAATCCCATGAGTTGAATGCAATTAATAAACAACCCATTTAGTGATCTCCCAAAGCTCAAAAATGCTCCAGGTATAAGTATATAACCATGTATTTCTGACTCGGGGTGTGTCTACACAGCAGGGCTTACTTGAAAATAGGCTACGCACATTGAGGTACATCAATTGCGTATCTTATTTTGAAATAGTTTATTTAGAAATAGGGAGCGTCCACAAAGCAGCATTTATTTCGAAATAGAGCAAGACGTTTTTGAGGAAGATCTCTTCTGATAAAAGCTTCTTGCACAAGAAGCCTGCAGTGTAGACATAGCCTTACAAACGACTTGGTCCCTATTACATTTGTAAGTAATCTAAATTAATCTGCCATACATTTGTGTAACGGAAAAGAAGAGAATCGAGTCTATGCATAAAAATGTACTTTTAAGTCTGTCTCTATGAAATAGAGCTAACATTCTTTTGTAAGAGCAAATGCATCATTACCCTATATATTAGTTTGTTAATTAATATAATAGCATCTTGACAGGAATGCGCTCAAGACTCAAGAGCTCGGCAAAGAATTATCCCAATGTTTTTCAGTCCTTTAAAATTAACATTTTTTTAGTTTGTTCAGTTTTTGTCTTGAGTTGGTTAGTTGTGGGCTCGCTTGCTTGCCCTGTGCTTGCTTGCGTGAAGACTGTGGCATGGTGTCTTATGAGGGCTTTGTGCTAACTCAAACTGCCTGCTAGGTTAGGCTGAGAGCTCACTAACAAGGCATTAACGTGCTATCCCTTTTGACATTCCTGGATAGGGCAGTGGGATAAGCTAACTTAGAGGGAACATGGAGTTTTAAGACAGCTCCTGTCAAAATTAGACTCAGAACTCACAATTTAGCAGACCACTCTGTTTTATTAGTCAATACAACCAGAAAAGCGAGTTCCCTTAACAAAGCTCAAGCCACCTTATTTATACAGATAAAAGGGCACGAACTCAAACAAGGTTACAAGATTATCTGGGGCTAGTCACGTATTTCATTTCCTTATTAACTCTCCCCAATCTCCTGTTAATATCCCACTATCACCTTAAGTGGAATCATTGTCTACTTTCTTAACATCTTTCTTCCTGCTTACACAAAACAACATTATCTTAACATTCCCCTTCCTGAAAAGGAACAAACAACATCATTTTAACTCATTCTACTTTCACACTCCTAAGTGACCGTAGGTAT